GTACCTCCAGTGATAAAGCTATGTGTGGGTAAGTACCTCCAGTGATAAAGCTATGTGTTGGTAAGTACCTCCAATGATAAAGCTATGTGTGGGTAGGTACCTCCAGTGATAAAGCTATATGTTGGTAAGTACCTCCAGTGATAAAACTATGTGTTGGTAAGTACCTCCAATGATAAATCTATGTGTGGGTAAGTACCTCCAGTGATAAAGCTATGTGTGGGTATGTACCTCCAGTGATAAAGCTATGTGTGGGTATGTACCTCCAGTGATAAAGCTATGTGTGGTTAGTACCTCCAGTGATAAAGTTATATGTGGGTAAGTACCTCCATATATCTATAAAGCTATATGTGGGGAAGTACCTCCAGTGATAAAGCTATGTGTGGGTAAGTACCTCCAGTGATAAAGCTATGTGTGGGAAAGTACCTCCAGTGATAAAGCTATGTGTGGGTATGTGCCTCCAGTGATAAAGCTATGTGTGGGTATGTACCTCCAGTGATAAAGCTAGGTGTGGGTAAGTACCTCCAGTGATAGAGCTATATGTTGGTAAGTACCTCCAGTGATAAAACTATGTGTTGGTAGGTACCTCCAATGATAAATCTATGTGTGGGTAAGTACCTCCAGTGATAAAGCTATGTGTGGGTATTCCAGTGATAAAGCTATGTGTGGGTAAGTACCTACAGTGATAAAGCTATGTGTGGGTATGTACCTCCCGTGATAAAGCTATGTGTGGGTATGTACCTCCAGTGATAAAGCTATGAGTTGGTAAGGACCTCCAGTGATTCAGCTATGTGCGGGTAAGTATATCGAGATATATAAAAATATGACAACCAATCCTTAAATGGTAATTTTTCAGTGATTATATTTTTTTCTCTGTTTTATTATGGAATTACCAATATCCGAAGCACACTCATTCTACTATGACTATAGCAGCATGTTCAAATTGTTTAACCAGCATTATTTGCATATTTAAAAATGCACTAATTCTATTGAAATGTTGTATATTTTCCAGTGGAGACTGTCCTGCCGGATGTACGGACTTGGACGCTACCCACCAGCTCCACGCACATCGATTCTCACTGGTAACTCTCATCTAGGGCTGTGTCGCATTTGTTGTTTATCTTAAAATATAAAGTATTTCTGTAGAACATATCATACCATGAACTATATGTCAGGCAACTCAATACCATCTTTTTAACATTTAACCAGGTTACATGCTACCGATTATGTCGTTATGTTTCAGAGTCTCCCTGTATGCTCAGCAGCCATCAATAGTCAAACTATCTCAGGAAAAGGTGGCCATGTTATCTGGAAAAACGCACACGTGGTGTAAGTACATAACAAGTTTTTATTGTTAGGATAACCAGCATTATATATCATTCCTTTTTAAAAGATTGTTTTAATTGTTCTTGTTTTTGTTTAAATGATGATTTAATATTGTCTTTGTTTTATTGATTTTTGTATTCATTCTTTTAGTAATTCAGCATTGCAACCATTAATAACTTAACCCACTTATGTAGATAATCCGTATACTTACCTGCTGTAAGTATAGAGCATCCGTATACTTGTCTGCTGTATGTATAGAGCATCCGTATACTTGCCTGCTGTATGTATATATCATCCGTATACTTGCCTGCTGTATGTATAGAGCATCCGTATCCTTACCTGATGTAT